ATTAAAATTAACATTTAGTCGAATACAAGCCGATTAATCGTTTCCAAAATAACATAATAATAATTTACGAAGCATTAAAATAATAAAAAATAAATAATAACTCTGAAATATTTCCGATATATATTTTTTTAATCACACGTTATTTGGTAATTAGATGTAATTCGTTGCTGGCTGTTTATAATTAATTCGTGCTTTAGTATGCCAATAGTGATGTTTAAATAGGTTATGAATCAAATATTTTTATTTATTTATTTATTTATTTATGTACACACAGAAAACAAGACACAGTACAGAGTAATAGGAAAATTATGTACAAAGGCACTGCTTATTTCTTTGAGAAATCTCTTCCAGCAGACCTGCGAGAGGATAATGAGAATAATAATAAAAAGTGATAAGTGTGTGTAGAACAAATAACACATAACTAAAATAACAAATACAACATGAGAATTATAGCACATACACATAGCAAATATTATAAGTAACACAGTAACACTCGTATATGCGAAGAGTATAGAACCATGATCATTCGGTTGATGATAGATAAAATTGTTTGACCTTGTATTTAAAAACAGAAACAGACTTGCAAACTCGGATGTCAGCCGGCAACGAATTCCACAGTCTGACCGCGTGCACAGTAAAGGAGTGAGAATAGAAATTGGTTTTGTGGGAAGGGAATAACAAAACAGAACGTTGGTTGGACCTGCAGGGAGCATCAGGAGAACGAATGAAAGAGAATCGCTCACGTAAATATAAGGGAGAAGTGGGCTTATGTAGGATATTGAATAGGAGACATAATATTCGAGTATTCCTACGAAGGCGTATAGGGAGCCATTTAAGTTCTTTGCGAAAATGAGAAACATGATCGAATTTTCTGAGATTGTATATAAAACGGATACATAGATTTTGCATCCTCTCAAGCTTGTTTGAGAGCTCCTCAGTGGCATCCAAGTAGCAGGCATCGGCGTAATCAATTATGGGTAGAATGAGAGCTTGGACGAGAGATATTTTTGTATGCTGAGGTAAGAAGCCCTGCAGACATCTCAACGAGTGCAAGGCAAAGTGCACCTTCCTACTAATCTCAGCAACGTGAGAACTCCACGAAAGATGTCGATCTACAATAACACCCAGGTTTTTAACTGAATCGGTTAGAGTTATTTGAGTCATTTAATAATAATATTTGAGTTGATATAATTAATATTTGAGTTATTTAATATCTTAATCCTGGTATCCGTATGAAGGCGCGGTACACCTAGGTGCGGGTTCAATACTGAAGACGAAAGCTCAAACGGCTTCCAGGGAGACTTGTGCACTTATTGTTCCCGTACTTACTGCCGTATACCGTTTTTACCAAAACTTTTCGCTGTTCGATTTTTGTTTACCTCGACACATGAGGTGTCCGCTGAGGTCACTTTGAGCTTCATGCAGAATAGATTATTGATCCTCTTATAGAACAAACATATAGGAAAATAAAGATACTGATTAGACACATTGTTTTTTATTTCCGCTTCTAATTAAGCAAAGTGTCGTTACAAACTTTGAAAACCGCCGTCGTACAAAAGTCAGTTACGACAACCGCCCGTTACAATTTATCCAGCAACAAGTCTTCCGAACGACAGGGACGGTCATACGCGACACGTGCGGGCGCGAGGGAGACGACAACACTCACCTGTTCACTTTTTGTTCTATTCAAGTTGGTCTTTTTATAGTTTTAATTACGATAATGGTGCAATATCGGAGTTACATGGCTTTACTTAGAAATTGTTATTTTTCTTGAGTTGTTTTGTAATTGTTTGGGTTGTCCAAGATTCAGTGGACGTTAGCCAAGACCGACCTCATTCTGTAAACACTAATATTTATTTGAAATAACTCGAATCAGCTCGGTAAAAGCATAGAGTCATAGAGTCTATAGTTGTACAGTCAGTCCCAGTAGCAACATTTGGGGACACGTCAATGTTACCGAGTTAGACTTTAAATTTTTTTTATAGATATTGATAAATTCAAAGCAATAGACCTAGTTACACGTTCGCAGCCATCAAATTCTAACGATCAAGCCGATCGTCAATGTTGCCGACACTCACATTCAAGCCCCTGGTTATTGCTAAACTCTTTCACAAGCTGCATTAACCTCTCTGATGTCATTTTTCGAACAGAGGAATGTTTTGTTTTCCTGTCAGCGATACAATGGATGAAAGATCTTCCTAATCCTGGAGACAAAGCTCGCACAGGTCCGCCGCAAAGGATCAGGTACGAGAGGATTCGTCGTTTGGTGTATGGGAAGGCACAATGGAGGGCAGTTGGAGTTCTCCACAAATTGGGTTGTAGATCTAGTGAAGAGCGCAGACAGTGTGTGGAGTGGGGGAGGAGGTCTTGGTAATGCGAATTAGCTTCGTGTAATCAATTAATAAAAAAATACAAATAGTTAATCTCTTTAATAACAATCACAAAACACGAGAGAAATGAAATGTGAAAATGAATGAATTTAATCATTCACGTGTCGCGGACCACGGTCGAGTCTCGACAGTGACGACACTACACCGAGACTGGTGCTATATGATATTGTAACAGGACGAATAAACTGCTTTTTTCCTCTACCTTATCGTCGGTAGCCTAGGAGGCTATTCCAACTTCACGTGGACCGGTAGGTGAGCTCACGGGCTCAACCTGAGAGAGTTACAAACACTAGTCCTAGCAAGAGCAGTGCTTCTCTGAATGTACCACCGGATCGGAATCTCAGCGGGTTGTGTCCATGGACTAGTTCACACGTCGAACTCTTCGTCGGCGTCGAATAAGCTGCAGGAGGCGTCAGCGACACTGTCCCAGCACATGGTGTCTGTGTCGGGAGCTGTTTTACGCAAAGCCGAGGGACTCCTTACAAGTCCTTATCGATGAAAAGCGTAGAAATATGGGAACAAGAGAATGAGGATGCGACGTGGTGCTGCATCCCGCAGCTCTTGGGAGTCTGCAGTAAATTTTCCTAAATTGACTTTTAAAATATTATTGAAGGCAGCAACTTTTCTGTACTCCCACAAGCGATAGTGGCTACTTATTATAAGATGGGCTGTGAGCACATAATCACGCACGTAATCGTCCTCCTGCGCGTATTTTCAAGCTGGCTGACGCAGGGATCGCGGCGCACCCTGACTCTAGGGGCGAGAGAGCCCTTGAGCCTGAAAACTCATTTATGACTATGCCAGTTCGTGTTGTGATTAGGCTATGATACAGAACAAAGTTGAACCTTTTTACTAACCCGCGTGCTGCAACTAATAGAGGGAATCCTGTAGAAAAATAGCCATCTTCCTACCCTGTTGGCTCAGCAATCTGTACACCCTTTGAGTCCGGTATTCCAAGTTCCTAAATTGTCTGTTTCGCAATAATGTTCGCAATAATATGTGAATGTTATTTCAGTACCAGCTAAGATCAAGAAGACTGCGTACTTGCTAATATAGTATACCTAAGTTAATTTTCAGGTTGTCAATGAGTCGTCGTCGTCGAGTTCCGTTGAGCATCTGTTGAGATTGAGGCCGGCGTGAGGTCGTCCAGCAGTCCGCTAGCGGCGCGCTGCCGGTAAACACCAAGTCATTATAGATTTTCTAGTCGGCTACAAAACAACGGTAAGCGGAACTTTCTTTACAATAGACATCAACGCGCTCAAACACTTTCTATCTGCAGAAAGTTTCTAAAGCTATGATTTGATTTTGTTGCCCGGTAGACGACCCAAGCGACTTTAGTTGCTACAATGTCTAAACACATGGAATTGAATGTTCACTATTTCGTGGCATAGTATCAAGTAATCTAGTTACTAACTATTAATTAAGTTCAATTATGAAAAAACGAAATCTGAAGATTCGTTAAGTACCAACCGAAGCTTGAAGAGTAAAGCTTTAGGAATGAAAGTGTTAAGTAGGGAGTACTGTTCCCAGGAACGAATGACGAGGCCGCGTTGGCAGTGGTTCGGAGGCGGTCGCGGCCGGGTACACGGAGACCGCGAGGTCACGTGGCCTCAGAACCTGTTCGGATGGACCTCTAGAAGTTTCCGAAACTTTGTTTTTATTTTTAATTAAAATGAATAGTACTAGTAATTAAAATTAATTTATATTCCGAATAATCTTTTTTTTCTTCATAAAACTAGTTTTTTTCTTGAAATAATTAAAACATATTGTTCACGGAAAATAACAAGGGAAAAACAAAAAAAAAACTAATTAATAAATAATTTTTAATGTGCTGACTTTACTTTAATGACGGAAACAAACTTAATTACTCATTAACTTCGACGAACACAATATAAATTCAATTCGAATCAGATGTTAAATACTAGCGATTACATAATACTGGCTTTCATAAAAAGACAAGCTTCCCCGGTACTGAGTGTCCTGCGAGCCCATCCTCATCTGGTAGTGATGCCCCTTAGCGTGGAAGGTCGAATCCAGCTCCATACAAAGCTTTTGTTTTCACCAAACTGAAAATATAGTAGGTGTATCTATTGTTCGAGGATATGGCATAAAGACTTTTATGTCGGGACCCAAAGTCGCGGGGAGAGGTGTCCTATGTAACTGGAAGGAAGCGGCAGGACTACGGCAGTTCTGTAGTGGGACATTCACCACTTTCAGTCACTTGTTCATATGGTTCACATATTTTGAAAGGTGTATTACTTAAATTAGCTTACCCTTCGTAATCAGACATATTTTCATATATAGGTACGTCTAATAAGGATTGTAACAATTCTGAGTAGTGGCTCAATCTGTTAGACTTTAAAAAATGAAGGCATTAATAAAAATCCAATCCGAGTGTGAGCTTCAATAAAACTTCTAGGATCATATAAACTTGAGTGTGGTATCTTCAAAACCGCTTGTTTTAATAGACGTGTTCCGGCGTCTCCAGTATATAAGGCCTTATGTAAGGTGGCTGCTAGCGTGTGTGTGCGCGCGTGTGTGTGTGTGCTGGACGTACGTACATAGGGCAGTCGCGACTCGCTGCGCACGAGTTCAGTTCTGTTCCACATTAACGCATTTACGTGGAGGCCCGCGCGCTCAGCGGACGCCCGACCCGTCAGTGCCTGCCAGTACTCCAGTGCCAGTACTCGTGTGCAGTGCCAGTGGATAGTGTGAATGTTTCAGTGCGCTACTCGAGATTTTCAATTGGGTATGTTGTTCCTTCGATGTTTTTAAACTATCCATTACAAAGTTACAGGAGTTTTCCGTGTGATATCCCCGGTGTGACTGCGGCATTTGAACTTCAATAAGTTTTCAGCTCAATTCAATAATTTTGTTCAGTGAATTGTGCGTCTCGGTAATTAAAATACTTTTTAATTAACTTCCCGGTCTCAACATCTAACTTCCTTATAACGCCTCTACATACATATATTCTTTAATGCTACACCCGCATACGTATTTTTATTCGGACAGTGTTTTTATATACCTTTATTCCTATAATGTGAATGGAACCTGACGTCGTGCCGCGTCCACTTCAATATTCCTAATTTCTAAATTGTTCGTGAAGCTGTTAGTTGGATGTTTGTTCCAAGTTGTGAAGCCCTCGATGGGTTTCCATCGGCCGTCGCTCTTGGGCAACTGGTTACATTACTATTTACGTAAGAATTTTATAAGTTTTTTATTCGTGTTCGCCGACGGTCTTTGCTTCACTTTTACTGTTATGAAAATATCGAACCTAAAATTGGATAAAAACTATTTTTTTATTATTTATTGACCACCTCGCTGATATCGTTGGAGTTTTGTAATCAGCACTATTCAAGAACGTTCTTTATAAAAGGTCTTATGTTCGCCTTGAAGTGTTTTCTAAAGTTTTCGCGTAATCCGGTGAAAATATTGAAGGCTCACACTCGTAGAACTATTGTATACAGTTAACTACATTCCGGATGCTCTGTAGTGTTTGTGGTCAGGAGTACAGATTTAGAAATCCCGTCTACAGCTCATCATCTTAACTACACCTTGAAGCTTATTAAAGAACTGTCCAAAAGTGTCACTGCGACCTGAACTGTAGTATTCTAACTGTATTCTTCAAATAATTCTGCTCTAGAATCGAATAAAATGACTGTAACAATAAAACATCAAATCATAACCATCTAGACCTGTTGCCTCTCAAGTCTAATATTCAAAATGATTCTTAAGACTCTCTAAAATTTTTAAACAAAAACAATTTCACCAAAACTTATTAAGTGTGATTAAAAAAAAAACAGACAAACAGACAGACAGACAGAAATGCTAGTTACCACGTTGCAATAATAGTTCACATGTCTTTGCTGCACAACATCCAAGTACCTACAGTTGATCTGCCTCAACGGATGGCCCCAGGTTGCTGCTGAGTAAATGTGTTGAGGAACGGAATAAACAATAATTATCATTATCATACATATTTTAAATGATATTTAAATTCCTATAGCGCTGTTGTTATTTTAAAACTTTTCATGATGTTAACTCTACAAGTCTCAAGATGTTGTATGCGCCGACGGGCCACTGCAGCTCTACTTGACTCTTCATTGAAAATCGGTTCGTGGTCATTATGTACTTGTTCATTCACTGCTTCCTCTCTTGACTGGCTAGATTGAATAAATTTCTTAAATAGATTGGCTTAGTATGAAAGATTTTATTTTACGAGCTTTTGTTTCCGTCTGTTTCTGTGGCGATCTAAACGAGAATCAGAGGGTCAAGGGAGAGTCCGAGGCTGGTGTGGGCTGGTTGCTCAGTACAGCCGCTGTACAGGGTCTGGCTCGGGACAAGTGCTGAACGTTACGCGACCTGCACTCACTTCAAACTTAGATTCATTGGGCTTCAACTGACGGACTTTTTATATTCGACCGCCTCCCACAAAAGACACACTTGAACTCACTAGCTGTTAACTAACTAGCTATAAGGCGAGATATCTACAGTCAGTTCAGTGTGGTTTCTAATGAAACCATAATTTTACAAGTATGTGAGCAAAATTACACTCACATCCCACCCAGTTTTGGACTAATGTCTATTCCAGACTATTCAGATATCCCTTTGATTAATTTCTTAAAAAAAAGTTTATTTCTTAGGTGAGTGGACGAGCTCACAGCCCACCTGGTGTTAATTGATTACCGGAGCCCATAGACATTTATAACGTAAATGCGCCACCCACCTTGAGATATAAGTTCTAAGGTCTCAGTATAGTTACAACAGCTGCCCCACCCTTCAAGCCGAAACGCATTACTGCTTTACGACAGAAATAGGTAGGTAGGGCCGTGGCCATACCAAATAACCAACTCAATTAAAACAGACGTATGTTAAAGTGAAACAAGTTGTAGTCTAAGTTAGAACTGATTGTTGATTGAGCTCCCGGTCTGCGGAGCTGCCGGGCTGGGTAGGGATGTGGTAAAAATCATAAATTTTCAACAATGTTTTCAATGAATTTTGAAGCTAACATTTGATGTCGGTGCTAAGTTATCAACTCTATTGTTTAATTCTATAAAAAACAATATAAAAACAAAAAACAATTGTCGTTTGGTCGCGAAAGTCCCACGTACGTGAGTGTTAATTGCACATCGACTGAACACCGACGGACGAGACTCGGCCCGACTCACATGTTCCCTTGGGTATCGTTATTGAGGTCTTTGTGTTATGTTGTTGATGCTATTGGTGTTTCTTCTACTCCGTTAGAGGCTTATATATTCAGCAGCGCTCGTGGCCGGGACGGGAGAGGCTTAAATCCAATAAAACTAAAATACAAAAACTTGACAATTATTTATAGATTAACTAGCTGATCCGGCAGACTTCGTAGTGCCTCAATCGATAAATAAAAGACCTGAACTTTTGTATAAAATAAACATAAAACAAACAAAAGGAATCCGTCCGACGGGTGACACATCAAAGGAAAAACAAAATTGTTATCTTTATTTAATTCCGAGCATTTTCATATTTATCTAGCCTTTAAACCTTCTCTGGACTTTCACAAATAATTCAAAACCAAAATTAGCCAAATCGGTCCAGCCGTTCTCGAGTTTTAGCGAGACTAACGAACAGCAGTTCGTTTTTATATATTTAGATAGATAACAGTATTAAGCAGATTTTGTTTATAAAAGTTAAAGTTACGCCCATTACAGTTATGTAGTCTCCGATGTTGCTTAACTTGAATCCGTATTATGGACAAACAAAGCAGTAGCCGATTAGTTAAGGAGCCGCTATTTGTTTGATAACATAAACTACTACAGACAAGCTGACAGATCACATTGCTTTAATTGGTCACCGTAGCCCATAGATGTCACAAAGAGAACCTTGACACATCAGCTGGAAGTATCAATAGTGTCCAGACAAATTATTTTAACTCAAATGTCAATGACACGCAGCTGTTGTCAAATTTTAAAACATAGTAGTATCTTTAGTACGAGTATACAAGCCACTTATCATCATCATATTCTATATCGACCGTCCCATCTATCAGGCAAGACTTCGCTGGGAAAATAGGTGGGTCAATGGTACATACACTACATACCCATACGAACTAACAATTCGCCCTACCACTAGCAAGTAATCTTCAGGACATCAGCGGTACCAAAACAGCTGAGATTTCCATTTAACATCCCAAGGGAAGCGGCTGCTTCTGTACTGAGTTTCTGTAGACTAGAGATCTGATCACTTAAGAGCAAATGGGATATTAGTCCGTTTACTCACCTACAGCAATATACCTAACCTACCTAAGTATATGGAATGCAAAATGTTTGATGCAGGAATATACGTTTTCCATTAGAAAAAGTCCTTAACAAGTTATGAAAAGTTCAAAAGCGCTACACAACATAAGCGCAGGCACAAGTAAGCGTTACATAAGCCGGCGTCAGTGAAAACATAAAGTTTATCTAATCGTAACATTTCAAGTGTGGGAGCCTCCGAGCGCGGGTCTAGGTTACACGCCTTTGTGTGTCGCCTTCCCATAGCGTCGCCACCCGACGCGGACTTACCTTGTCTTCTTGTCTAAGCCATTCAAACTATTCGACTATAATTAATTGAAATTATAAGTTTGAACATTATTAATGTTATATTGTCAAAGACTATTTATTATACTTCTATAATCACAGATTTGGCTAAGACTACACTATAGACAAATAATATTACAGATAAACAATATTAACTTATTTTCAATTTGACCACAGACTTTAAGCATTAACTAAAGTTTGACAATAAACAAAGAGTTATATTATACATATGTGTGTGTGTCAAAAACATGGCAGTGTGTGTAATGTTTTCTTTATTGATTTAATGTATCTTTTATGCATTATCATAAAAAAATATTAACATTGTGCACTCCTTCTCTATATTCTCTATAAGTGTGGGAAATTTCATACTCCTCCGTCCGCGCAATTTTCGTAAAAAGGTATACAAAGTTTTTGCTTCACGTATTAATATATAGATTCTCTTCTAATGTTAAACTTTACTTTGCTTGCCTAACTGGGTGAGCTGACAGCACGTCTGATGGTAACGGATAATGCTGCCCTTAGCGACGCTACTAAGAGAGTCGTGTAGTTGACCGTCGACAATGTGTTAGCATTCGTCATAGCGTCGGTCGCGCGACGGCGGCACCTCTCGACTGGTTTTTGTTGTTGACAAAAACTATCGTAAAAACGGCGACGTTGTTTGGTGGCACTTTCTAAAATAGAATGCGCCGGCTCTCGCTGCTCATTATATTGGCAAATCATTTCAATCTGATGTCTTATTGACGGCTTCACGACCCGGCTGTGCGCCTAAACAGAATCATACGAATTCAGCGAACGATTTTGCTGATATCGAAAGCAGTGTTTATAGTTGTTGTGAAAAAATGCAGTCGCCATTGTTTATGGACACCTTAAGAGTTCTAAATATCAGTTTTATACTACACCGGCTGCCCCAGCCCTTTAACTGCTTCACGGCAGTTATAGAGAGAGTGGTGGTACCTACCCGTGCGGGCTAACTAAACGCCCTACCACCAGTAATTATGCAAATTATAATATATTTTGCCCTGAGTGCTACTATGCTCTAAACTAAATTCTCCTAGTTACACAACAAAGTGCAATACGAAGTCCATACAAGCGCGACAAACAAAAAACGCAGCTACGATCACATCACACATTCCCTCATTCAAGCCAACGCAGCCATCAAGCGAAACAGAACGTCACAGCGGCGCAGTGCCGCCGA